CATTTACCTTACTGAAACAAAGTGCCTTGAGGCGAGTGTTGTGATTTGGTGCTATATAAATAAAATTAATTGAATTGACTTGAAAATATTGCTTCCACTATTTCCACCAGCTAATCACTGGCAGTGTCATTCTGCATTGTACAACAAACAGTGGATTTATGAGAAGCTGTTTTGGCTAAGAATACCTGGGTACTGCACAAAATGAGCTCGTAAAATTGGATGTAAGCACTTCGGGAGCAGGTAATGTAACTACAATAAGAGATTACAATATACTAAAACCTTCTGCTCTGAGCTGCAGAGATGAGTGGGAGCTTTGTCTTTGGTAATATAAAATAAGTGATGTTACATCTGGCTTAAATTGCTGAAACACAGTTTTAATCTTTCTCAGACAATGCAATCATTTTCAAGATTTTTTTATAACAATAATATATATATATACATATATATTTAATAATATATAATAAAAGCTACTGGTTTTCACTTCTTGGGCATGATTTAAAACATGAACTAGAAAAGTAAGAAAATCAACAGAAAACTCTATTTTAAGGAGACCTGTTGTCTCAGAGAAAATAAATCTTAACCAATAAAGGCTGAATTGTATCTTTTCTTCCCTGCTGAATTTGATAGCATGAGAAAAAAAAAGTTGCCACAGAGAATAATTGAGGCAGGGGATTGCTAAAAAGTGGAAGAGTAATGGAAAAAGCAAATGATTAAAGCAACATAAAGTCTGAGTATTGCCTATTTCTTGAACCATGCTCGATTTAACAAACAACAAATGCAGATGACAACAACCAAAATACCATGGGTCCATTTTTGTTTGTTTTTTCAGTCTATGATTTTAGTTCAGAATGGATACACAGTTTCTTATAGCATACATATATATTTACACACAGTGAAGGTTTTAAAAATGTCAAACACTGTGATGTGTAAGATGGTAGTCATTGGCTGTCATTAGGTAGTCATAGATTATTACAGTCTTTATGAGATGAGACACTGCTGTTATGGGGTGCATACAGTGAAGGTGATGATGCATTTTGATTATTGAGAGTAAATAGTAGCTTTAGGCCAGAACTGTTTTCTTTTCTTTTTTTTTCTAAATATATTTCTAGAAAGTAACGTGGCATCTGGCAGAAGATAAAATGCTGATTGCCTATGGGGAACACAGAGAAATAAAATAAAGCAAGAAAGTGGGGCAGGAGATTGAAAAAGAAAACATTGCATTAATCAGCTGGCTGTGGTTTTGGACCAGCAAGCTACGGACGACAATGGAACTTTGAATTAGTTGTGGAAGTCAGCTCATTCCAGCTGCCCTACTTTTCACAGAAAGCCCTAAAAAACTGTGCAAGCTCATATCAAACACATATCCCAACTGTTCACAATAAAGGTACTGGATATTGCTTTTCATTTTCAGGGAAAATACAGTTAACTACAATTGATCTCTGAGTGTGTACTGAGGGATCCTCTTTATTACTTCTACACGGTACACTTAAAAAAATGATTATTTGCAATCATAACCATGCAGCAATAATTTTCAGTAAATGTAACTGAACTCAAAGCCTTATTTATTGAAACAATTGATAATTAGGGAAGATATGCTTGGTATAAACTAGATTTACACCAGTCAAGTAAATTTCTAAGATTCTATAAGTAAGATTCTATTAAATTGTGTACTTTATTTTAAGTTTCCATTCAATATAGCAGTTTACTCTGTTCGTATGTAAAAACAATGACATGAAAATATACACAGAATCAAATTACTTAAACTCAGCCTTTTGGATATTAAGATGTTTTTAGTGTAGTTTGATAGTTTCCTTCCAAAAACAAATGAAATACACGAAACACATGCAAGCTTGACAGTGGTGTTTGAGCTATTTCTTTGTGACATATCTTGTTTTCTATTATTATTATTATTATTACTACTAAATTAATGTTATCATTCATTCTGCTTTTCATTGTGTAACAGTGATAATTTAGCTCATGTGCAAAGTGGTGGATTTGATCATATCTTTTTGAATGATGTTTGATAAATTTAAAACCACAGCAACTGGTGTAAAGTAAAAATTAAACGGGGGAAAGTGAAATGACAAGATTGAAGTTTTAAGAGCAAGATTTTGAAGAGTTTCTGTGCCTCAGAGAACTCAGCAGTAAGGTCATTATAACTCTAGAGTGAACACCTCTAGCTTGAGGTCGAGAATGGAAGCACCAAGCAAGTGATTCCAACTTTGCCCCATCCCCCAGTCATTTTTTGGCTTTTGTATAGAGTTTGTTTAACTATTAGCAGATGAAATGCAAATTATGTTTTTATGCTTAACATGTGACCGATCATTTATGAGTGAATGAATGAGTTCAAAGAGTCTGTTTCTGATGTCATGGTTTTCATTCATTTCTCATTAGAAAAAATATCTGCCACAATCTTTGGAACCCACCACAATACTTTGCACTCGTTTTCATCAAAAATGACAGTGCGAACAGTTGATACGGCACATTTAATTTCAAATCGATGTGTAGTTAAATTGAACTGCCACACAATGATTTGCACACTTAATATTCACAGTAGTGGATTAACACTGACTGGAAAATAAACAGCAAATTAAAAGTGTAATTCCTAATGTAATTTCTTTACCAGCATGCAGTGGGTGGAAAGAGAAAAAAAGTTCCTTGGAAAGGTTGCATGTGTATTCATATTGGTTTGTTTATTAGGACTTGCAACTGTGAGACTTCTGGAGAAGACTGGACCGGAGTCTGTACCTCATTATACCATTAAATAAGCACGAGAGGTGCTGATTTCCCCCGTTCCTGAAGTCTGACCCAGCTCCATAATATATTCCTCTCATTTATAATATATTCATTTATTTCACATCCACCACAATGTGCAGTGGTTAGACTTTTGCCACACCCACTCACAATGCTTGCATGTTCACTTGCACCCAGTTTTAGTATATGTCCTTTAGAATGCACATTAAACAAATATGTAGAACTTTATTAATTTGTGTAATATCACTAAAATTAGAAACATCCTGTCTCAGAGTGGTGTTGAAGAGCTAGCTCATACATTTACTATTTTAAGGCTGAACTGTTGAAGTCATTATTTATTATATTATTATTATTACACTGAAAAAAAGGGATGGGCCATCTCTTGGATTTATGTGAGCATCTTGCGTGTATTCAACACAATTGTCTCATGCTTTAAAGTGAAGTGTAACTATATAGTGTAGAAACTACATGATATGCAGAGGGTATATTAAATTGTTCATATCATGTTCGAGTGAAGTAAGTCAATAATATAGCAACGCTGCATGTCATTTCATCTCGACGGCTTTGGATTGTGGTTTGAGGAAGGCATCCAGCTCAGTCAAGTCGAGCAACAGAAATTGGGTGGTTGTTACATTAAAAAAGTCTAACTTGTAATTTGAACAAAATAATTTCATGTTTCTATGGTGAACATAATTAAATCATGTAGGATTTGTATGAAATTCAACAACTTAATTTATTCTTGTTGAGATGACATGATACAATCTAGTAAGAGTGGTTACTTGCTGGACTCATGAAATTCACAAGATCACATGAGATTTCAAACTTCAGGAAAATCACTGGAGAGGAAGACAACTACACACACCACGTGTATGCTATTGCTAATTATCATGGTTTATCATAACTTTCCTACTGAATGATTAAAATATTCCAGGAGTTCAACTTACTTCATCTAAACAGGTTTCAATCATGTTTAATCAACACAAAATGCACAGGTTTATTAAATATGAATAACTTGTGTTGATTTAACTAAGTTGTTTAAGTTTCTGCCAAAGCAAAACAATTGTGCGCAACCAATGCCCACTATTGAATTAAGTAAATCCAACATGGTCTTTTTTTCAGTGTAGTTCATAACTTCAGTTATGCTTCAGCGAAAACACTGACAGAGACTAGAAAGAGAGCTCTTTTTTCATACATATTAGCTTCTCTTCTCTGGCACCCTGTTAAATCCAAAACTGAATTTAAAATATGACACTGATTATTAAATAGGCACTGATTATTCAACATTTTGGATGTGAGGTGCAGGATTTTGGGAATGGATGGCAGAGCCTTCAGCCTGCAGGTCTTTCTACTATAGAACCTGCTCCCATTTTGGATATCAGAGACAGACAATTCATTGATTTGGCTTTATAGTTACGGTTGGTGACCTTGGACCATCCTTTAGTTATGCTACTATCTATTACTTACTAACTACTGTATTTAATTATTAGTAATTATTAAAAACTGATTCTTCCACAGATGCTGTTTTTGTCCTGCCTCTCTCTGCTCTCTTCTTCTCCCCCTCAACCCTAACTTGGACATTTTTCCTCCTACTGTTGCCAAGTGATTGCTCATAGGGAGTCATGCAACTGTTTCTTTCTAATTTTGTAGGGTCTTTACATTACAATATAAAGTACATTGAGGTTACCATTATTGTAAAAATTGCACAGTGCACGTAAAATTGAATTATTTGCTAAATGTAAACTGAATCCATAAAAACACATTATGCATGCACAACAATCAAGGAACAAACACAACTACAATAATTATCCTCCTAAGACCCGAACTCTTTCATGACATGCTTTTTTAATTTCTTTTTGCTATTTGGGCTGATTGGGGCCTGATGAATGCAAAAACAAAGAATGATCTTTTTACCTGATGTAGTTTCTGAGAAAAATGATGGCCACATATTAGGACATTCGTTTTAAATTTTGATAGACCACTATAAAGTCACAAGTAAGTAATGATGTGCAAAACTATTTGTTTTTTGTCTGAACACAGCAGCAATTTTCCTGAGTACAAAAAGAAAATTAGAAACAACAGTTGTTCCCCTTTGAGCAATATGGCTCATTTGAAGTGCTGCTAACAGTTACAGGAAGACAGATGTCTGTAACAAAGTCCAAAAAGTAATAGAATTCTGAACATTGGATGTAGCAGGAAACCTAACACTTCAAAACTGCTACTTCAAATTTTTTTCCCCATGTTTACACCTATGTGTGAAAGGCTGTGTAACAGTTGCTATCTGCCTGTAAGCAGAGGAACACCTTGCATGTAACACACTGTACTCGAGTTTTCCCTGAGCAGCCTTTTGCTCTGCAGCGTGCTGCATTCTTCAATTTTGCCACCTCTGGCAGATGTGCATTAGCCTTCCTGCGGAATGAGACATGGGGCACTGCCTTCACTGGACGCCTTTTCCCTTGGACCAACATGTCTGGGTCATCTTCCTGCGCTGAAAAGTCAGAGCTGTCATTAGCATACTGAGCCAAGAAGGTCATGGCCACTTCCATGCGAAATTCAAGAAACTGCATGATGTCCTTCTTTGGTGTGCCACGTACAGTAAGGTCTTTGCGGTACAGTAGCTGTTGGCTAAAGCCAGATCCATAAAGTGCATTAGCATCCGCAGTGTCCATTTCTTCGTACGGCCACTCATGCGATAGTAACTCATTCTATCGACAAGGTCAAATCCACCCATCTTGGAGTTGTATTCACGGACAATACTTGGTCGCGAGATGGTCACATATCGTTTTAGTGTTTTGTCCCATCTCTGGCTCGCTAGCATGAACAGCAGACATCATCAATACGGGTTTATTGTCATACCACTTCACCACACAAATCTTTCCATCCTCAGTGGTAACTTGTGCTGAGGTCCCTCTTCCTTTCTTTTTCATTGTTTCGTCATTTGGTAGCTTCTGTAATGCTGCAGCGACCCGATTCTTCATAACTGTACCAGTTACATACATCTGCTTCTTCATCATGAGTTCCACACCTTGGATGGACATGAAGAATTGATCACAGTAAACCTTTGTATTAGGATGCAGCGTTTGAGACAGACGATCTATGACCAAGCCTCCCAAACCCAGATCCCCTGGTTCTTCGACCTGCTCAAGGAGTGCAGGAATTTTTAATATTGTACATTTATTATTTTGCAGCGTACTGCTCATAGCTCAGATGTGTTTATATTACATTGTTTTTGTTTTCAGATTTGTCAAACTGAGCACTTGGTGCAGCAGTTGAGCACACTGTTACTTTCTATTATCTCAACAACTTTAACGTCCCATGAGTTCAAATGACTGCTCCCTGCTTCCGACCAGAAGCTTCTGTTTTTTTGTCTATCATCTCTGTAAGGACAATAATTAGGAACACAACTGACTTTTTAATTGCCTTATTCAGTGACATTTTGTGTCTCACATCAACAGATTTTAATGCCTTTTCATGCTCTTTCAACACTGTTAATTACCTGACACCAAATAAAGAGAAAGACTATACTTGGTATGGCATAATCAGTCTTTCAGTCCATAACACTTAGGATAGGAGTTTGTTTTCTTCTTTTTGTCCCCATGCATTCAAAATGAATCCAACATCCTTGTGATCACCTCAGGTACACAAAATAAAATAAAAAACTATCATCTAATAATGCAGTCCCGTTCTTAAAAGGATTTATTCATCATATAATGAATTATGAGATGTCTGGGCTTAAATGAAAAAAAATGTGATCACTTTTACCTAAAACGGCCAATTATGTCATTTTGGCGTCATAGAAATCAATGCAAAGTCTAGAAAGTGCCTAGAAACACGTGTTCTTCTAAACACTTATTGTTTAGGCTGCTACAGCATGAGCCAGAACTAGCTAGATGTGACTGATAGATAAATATAAATCACATGTGAAAAATAGCTAGATAAAGATGATTGCATGGGTTCATGGGTTGCAGATATAAGAAGGGGGGGGGCAGAGTGTGTGATTGGACAATAGAACCTGATGAAGGTCAAAGGAATAATCTGGAATACTTTCACACTGTTTTTTGCCAATAGTGTGTTGTTTATATCAAGTAATATACAAAGCATAAAGTCATTCATACCAGAGTAGCCAGAGAGGATAATATATACTTAAATATATAACAGTGGAGTTCTGAAGATTTCCCTGGTGGTGAAGTCATCCTCGATCCCTGCAATGAGCACTGGTCTTCCTGATGTTTCTGAAATGATGTCGCTCTCTGTGGGTCAACAGACACTGGCACAGGACAGCTGCGGTAAAAGAAAGGGAGAAAGTTTCTCCAAACCTCTGGACCCAGGAAACTCAGCTTGGCCCCGATGGTCTCACTCACTATAGTTTCTCCCCAGGGTGGATGTAGCTGTTAATAATAATGTGGACTCTAATATTAAATGAAAATAACAAATTACACTTCTGTGAAACCTGCTGCTGATGTTTTTATTTAAAGTTTCCATGTTAGCAGGCTGTGGAGTGCTCTGTGAGTGTAATGGTTCTAAAACTGTTTAAATCTTCAGTTTTATATCATCCTCAGTCTTATGTTAAAATCTCAAAGGACAGCATTATATTTTTGATATTAACAGTCACTCTGGGCCTCTATGGGGTGTGCAGCTGATCTCATCTCTGTCTAAAATGGATAACAAAAACGAAGTAATGCCGAATCATTTAAATATATAGAATATTAAAGTAACAGGTGTCTAGCATGATCAACTAGCTAGCAACACGCCTCTAACACAGTGCATATGCTAACAGCTAATCAAGCAAAAAGAATTAACAACAGAAGGATTTTAGATGTTGTAGAACTATAAGATGATAAGCTGTGTGTCTTTTTTCATTTCATTTCATATTCACCTTAATTTAACGAGTCGTCAGTTGCAGTAAACCCATCAGCAGATAAACTTTAACAGCCTAGCTACATGAAAAGTGCAGGAGGGATTGTTCAGGGTCAATCCCGGGCGGGGCAGACGCTCCACCTGAAGTCACTACTGATGATGACGATGATCCCCTTAAACTAATCTTTAGTTTTAGTGTCCTTATTTTCCTGTGGGGTATTTTTTCTGTTATTGGTTAGCTAACATAAAATAATGTAATTCTGTGACCTCAGTCAGCCAACCAGCCTGCTGATGTAACCTTCTGTACTGTACATAATGTTCTTCTTCTAAAATAATTGAATTATTCAGTTAATTATTGTGCTGTTTTTTATTAGTAATTTCTGAAATATATGTTACTAATGCAATCTGTGTCCCCTTACATCTGGCGTAAAAATGACAGTGTTTCATAAAAAGAACATTATAGTTAAACACTGTGACGGTAGTGTGATAGTCTGGGGCTTATTATGTAGCAAGACAATGAAAAAAAAGCAGCAGTTTCCCCTCTTAATGGTTAGAACAAACACCAAAATTAAGGTTTTGGAGAGGTTCAGAGAAGTTTGGACTTTTTACAGTTACAGTGAGTACGATTGCAGATACTCCCTGAACACCATTATTGCATTAAGCCATAGTCTGAATAACCGCCTGTCCTTTATTCACCCAAATCCTGTTGTAAATAATCCTGTTATTGTAGGCTCTACCTTACAATGTAAAGCACCTTGAGGAGACTGTTGTTGTGATTTGGCGCTGTATAAATAAAATTTAATTGAACTGAACTGAAGTGAATAAGTCTTGCAAACTGTTTTGTCGGTGGTCTGAGTCTACTGTGTCAGATTTTTACAAACGACTCCAAACTACTTAATCCCCCAAAACTTTGCAGAGACTTTGCAGACTTTTGCAATAATTTGCAATGATTAAAATAGTCACAGTTTGACAAATAAGTCTACTCTGTTTTAGTAAAGTTATTAAAAGTGTTGACAGCTAACATTTAAACAGCAGTAACGTGAATAGAGTGTTGTACAGCTTTTATCATGGTCTGCTACACACACTTTATATTCTGTAACATAGCCTCACCTGCTTTATCCCTCATTTATCATTCTACAGTGTTCAACTTACACTGTCATTTATCATTCAGTGAGTGGAGAGGAAGAACTGTTAGTTCTCAGTCTTGTTCCATTACGGCAGAATGTGCTGAGTATAATTTAACATTAATGAGCCACATTGTGTGTGTGTGTGTGTGTGTGTGTGTCTGTGTAATCTTCTGCCCTCTCTTGTTCTCGTACACCATGTGACCCTGGTTTCCTGCGCAACTGTGTGCGTGCATGTGCATTCCTTACTGATTGTGTATTAACCAGCTAATAAAGAATTTGCGGTTCCAGATGGGAAGACACAGTTTGACTTCCTGATTCATGATCTGTCACATCCACTTTACCTTTCACCACCTCTCAGCTGAGACGTGGGGCTCAGGCATGGCTTCAAGTGACCAACAGGCCTTAAAAGAATTTTAAGACTTCTCTTCCATTTCAGTGCCTAAACTTTTTAAGGTTAAGAAAGTCCTTTTTGCCTTTTCTTCTCATCATCAAGGATGACTTAGACCTCACAGCTTTAATGCCAACATAAGCTGTGTAAATGTTTCAAAAAATTATTGTTTAAAATATTTTCACTTTAAACATGAAAATATTTTTTAACACTGTATCTCTGTAGCCATGTTACTGAAATGGTTTAAAGCTCTGGATCATTGGGTGCCTGTGAGCACACAAGCAAAGCAGTGCTGAATGTGAATCACTGTGAATAATGTTTAGGCACAGAACTGGACTGGAGCCAAAGACCATGCCAGGCAGGCACATGGCTAAGAGTGCTCAAGCACCTGCTCCTCTGCCCCTTGACGTCCAAAGTGCCCTTGTGTCAAGACTTTATGCATTAAGTAGGCTCATATAAAGTGGGACATTTAACAATTTAACAAAGAATTTAAATAGAAATAACACCACTAGCATGGAGGTATACCAAAGTCAATTAGATTTATTTAATACAGTCAGAAATGTCCTTAAGTGTTTGAAAAATGACAACCAAACCTTGCCTCTGTATACTACCACAGTGGATTTCAAAATGATTGATGTGCAGACTTTTAGTTTTAATTCAGAGGATTTAACTAAATTATTAAGTGTTTAGGAATAACTGCTGTTCCTATATATAGTGAAAGTAGCACTGTGGCATAGTGTTTAACACTGGGTTGAAATCCACCATCTGGCCAGGGCCTTTCTGTGTGGAGTTTGCTTGTACTCCCCGTGTCTCCATGGGTTCTCTCTGGGTATTTCTCCCACAGTTCATGCACTTAGTGGGGTTAAGCTAATCGGTGATTCTAAAATTGTCAGTAAGTGTGAATGGTTGTCTGTCTCTCACTGTGTTAGCCCTGCAGCAAACTAGTAACCTCTCCCCCGCCTCTTGCTCTATGACAGTTTAGTGATTTTAAAATTGTATAGTTCTAACTACCTCTGGATCCAACTAGTTCTAGTTTAACTCTATAATCAGGAAGTGTGCTAAGACAACATTCTTAAAATGTAAGTAATTAAGTAAATAAAGGTTAAGTGATCCAATGTGAAGAATGACTTACATTATCACCACTTTTTGATTTTACTACTGAGACACATTTAATTGGGAACAACATCCCCCGAGAATTCCAGCTTCTGAGGTAACCTGAATATGACTGGGAAGAAGTAAAAACCAGGACCAGAACAGAATTTTTAAAATTGAATTCAAGTTGAATTTTCCAACATTAATCTTCCTGCTGCGTACCTATCAACATATAACCTTCAGTGTCTGTTTTTCTTTTATTGACTTTATTGTGAGCTGTAAGAACAGTTTGTCACAGGGCATTATATTGAAAAAATAAAATATGTTGTATAGCTCTTTCCATGCCTTTTCATATGACATATTACTTAAAAAAGGTATCTTGAATTGCCCATACTCCTCAGGAGTACTCAGGAGGAATACTTGGCTGGCTGGAGAATTGGCAGGCAGGTGGAGAGCAGGTAAGCTCTTCATTATGCAGTGACTGAGCCAGCACACCAACAACAAGAAACTGCTCAGTTGTCTCAGCTGTCTTACAACACCAACACAAATG